CACCTTCGTGTGGCATTCTCCCTGTGTGCATGTCTGGCTCTGTGTCTAAATTTCCCCTTTATATAAGAAGACCAGTCCTCCTGGATTAGGGCCCACCTAATGAACTCATTTTAACTTGATTACCTCTGTAAAGTTGCTATTTCCAAATAAGATCACATTCTGAGGTACTGGGTACCAGGGTCTCACATATCATTTTAGTGAAAATCAATTCAACTCATAACAGTATGAATGTGGCTAGAATATGGGATGTATAACATGGTGGAATGGGGAAAAAAGGAAATGGTTAAATGCCAATAAATAGGACCAGAAAGATGGCCATAGTTTACTTAAAGATAAGGACTTTCTAAATAGAAACACAAACTCTTATTTCAAAATAAAATCTAAGTAGCTATGTCTTAAGGACAGAGATCAACACTCTCTATCTATAATCAGATAATTTTGATCTGTGTCATTACCAATCATAGACTTAAGGAATGTGGCACCTGTTAGTTGATTTTTCAGTCTTCAGTTTCTCAATTCTGATGAAAATTTTTTAATTGCTTTTTCTTTAAAGTAATATTATAAAAATAAATGAAAATAATACAAATATGTACATTAATAATGTTAATTAAATGTTTTTGAACTATTAAAATAGATGTAAATTCTGGAGTTCAAAAATTATCTTTTCACTTTTTTTAAGTAATTATACGTTTACTGTTTAGCCATTTGCTTAGCAGCATGCTTGTGTAATACTTTACTCTCTCACCTCTTACATTTTGTGCTTGTCATTGCCTTCTGATTTTACTTACTTTGTCCAACCTAAGATGACTATTTTCCATGACTCTGCAAAGCACAGTCCGCATCCTCTACTGAAATCCTCTGCTTTGACATCTTCAGGCAGTGAGTAAATCCAGTCATCTACCCTTTTCACTCCCACATCCAGATTGCTGTAGTCTTCCTCTGGCACCAAGTCAGTAGTTTGATGCCCCTTCACATATAGATTCAGATCCAGCTGACCCCTAAGCACTGTGCCATGAACTGGAGGCTGCTCTATTTTCTCCTTTTTACCTTGGAGAAACTCTTTAGAATTTCTTGGTCTCCTTAAGATCTCATCCCCACTATTGCCTCTTAAACATATTTAAAACTTCACAGAGAAGTGTGAGCTTTTTTTTTTTTTTTTTTTTCAGTTTTCCATCTCTGGTCTTCCCTGTTCATACATCTTCAATTAAAACTCATGAACTCACAAATAAACCTGCATTCTTACCTCTAGTTTTATAGAAAATGTTCACCTCTTTTCATTTGGTCTAATCCTTAAGTTAGTGACACTGCTTTCACCTTTTTTTTCTCTTGAACTTTCTCCTATCAACTGCTCTTGGCATTTTCTCTCTTCCTTTCAACCGACTCCTTCTGAATCCACCATAAATATAATCATGACTCTCTCATTAAAAAAATAAGCAGGTAGTATTTTTTCCCCTCATCGATTGTTTTATTCAAGGAATACATCCAGCTGTCTCAGAGAAACACAAAAGTAATCCCTCCTTTCATTTTGTTACCTCCTCTGGCTGATTCTTCAACTTACTAACTTGGGTTTGTGAGTTTGAGGTCTGTATTCCAGGCTACTGTTCTACTGATTCACACCTGCAAATTCTGTGTCACTTCTTTTTTTTCAATTCCTGTCTCGCTTGGACACTAACTGGGAGTCTTCTCTTTTCTCTCTCTCAAAAATTACTCATCATCACTGATGATGCTAGCTACTATATCTTTCCCACCTCTGAGACTGTCCTGGTTCGGCCTAATTTACTGCCACTCTTTCTTACTACTGATAGATTTGCATCTTTGGCTATCTTCCCACTGTGGAGAGATCTATCAGCTAAATAAAATTGATATTTGCATGACACCCATATCAACAAGTTCAACCGAGAGACTTCCTGATTCCCTGAGATGTAATTCCAGACAGGCATTTCCAAAAGCTTACTCAATAGCTTCTTGGAGATATACCTCATAGACCCCAACACAACATTCCCCAAGTTGAACTTTACAACCTACTCTTCCTCCTGTTCACTTTGTTGGTGAACAATATCACCAACACACAAGCCAGAAATCTGGGTGTCTTCTGACACTGCTATATACCTCTCAACTACTATGTTTGAATGACTGCCAAATCCTTAAATCTGTTGCATGTATTTTACCTCTCCATCCCCATGGCTACTGCTGTGAAAATCACTTTTCTCTGGGCTATTGAAATAGGCTCCAAATGTATTTTTATATTTTCTATTTCTTACATGCTTTAGGATGTGATTTCCTCATACCCAGTCTTCTTGAAATGGCTCCCTTCCTTGGTTTAGCCCATCTGAATTGTTTTTCTTGTTGGCTGTGGTGAGTCACAGACATACTGAAGACTCCCTGATGAAGGCCATCAATTGCTTCTTTAGAGAAATGCACACTCTCCCATAACACAGGCTCACACATTGTTATAGTGGCATCAGGGGATTCTGGATTCCATGGTCTGACAAGGAATCCGGTGGTCCAGCCTGATATTTAGCCACACTACTCTCCAACACCTTCTACAACACCAAATATGTATAGTTACCCCTAAATGCCTTGTTGTTTCTTGCTTCATGATATTGCCTCACACAACCTGTGCTTGCCACATTCCCTTAGTAAAAGAGTAAAATACTCTCGTTTTCTGTCTGTTAGCCTCAGATCACCTTCAGGTGTATACTTATTCTTTCCTCAAACCTATAGGTCTGGGTTGTTTCTTCCATCATAGCCCTATTATATATGACTTCTATACGACAATAAAATAACCTAGGGTAGACATTGTGATTTAAAGCTAAAGAAACAGATTTAGAATGGGCTTGCAGGCATGGTAGATTTGGATGTATTTGGTAAAAGGCACAATGTCCCTAATCCAGCTACCAAGTTACTCTGAGTTTGAGGAAGGAGAAATTTCTTCAATCAAGTTAGTACCATGTAAAGATTTATAACAGAAGTGGCCTTTAAATTGGTTTTATAAGCTATATAGGATTTGGAAATGCGAAGTTTGGAGGTAGAGAAGAAAAGTGAGAATTCTCCTACCTGGACCACATTTACTAAGCTGTTTTCAATAGTAAAAATTAGTACCTTGATGTGTCATTAGATTCTTTTTCTAGCACTGTATCAATCATAAGACGTTATCACTCATGTGATTCAAGTGAATTATTTCCTCACCTATATTTTTATTTTTTGTTAGAAATAAGATATTTTAGAATTCACAGTAAGCTTCTTTTTCCGTTGGTGAGTTCCTGGTTATATTTACTGATATGTAAGATTTAGCACATTGTTTCATAAAATGAGTTTTCAGAAAATCTAATCCTATGGAAAACTCATCAAGAAAGTATTCTGTGTTCTAATAGACTTGTGATTCACATTAGCACTGTAAAAGCTCTTAAAAGACCTGTGTTAAAGAAGCTTCACTTGTTTAATTTACCACTTCATGACTTATTTGATCATATAACCGCTTTTTCCATAATAGCTGTTACTATGTCAAGGGACGACTTCTCCACACATTGGGAAATTATAATGAACTATAAATATTAATCTGCTGTGCATAGTCTTTCCAAATAGAACTACTTATTAAGCATCCAAAATAAGTTGTTATATAGATAATATTTTTTCACTTCTGAAAGAGGATGTTCCAAAATACCTCTTAACTTAGAGGACTTATATATAGGCCATATATGTTTTGCAAGTATTTGCTATTTACCTATTGGGAGATAATTGTTTTGATATATTATGAAACAATCAAATCATAGTAGCACAGATCTTTTGGAACAAAAGGATAACTATATTTTAAATGGTCTTCCCCTCCACCACTAATTTCAGAAACGTGAAGCCCAGAGAACCTTAAGATCTTAGTGAATATCATGGAGCAAGTCTATAGTGGAACCATGGACTAAACATTGATCTCTTGAATGAAAGCCCAGTATTCTTTTCCTCACTAATCTAATCCGTTGCTTAATAATCCATTTATGTAAAAAAATTCTACCTGTGATGACAGTTGAAGTTTTTTATCACAAGTTTCAAAACAAGGACTAGATGCGTTTTTACATGCATAATCAGCTAAATATCCTTGAAATGACGCTTTTGCATAATTGAGAACAAAAGTTGTGAAATAATTTAAAAATGAAATTATAATATGCAGAACAAATGTTTTTAAAACATCCAGTCTTTCAGAAGCATAAACTCTATGAAATCAGAAATGGAAAGTGAAAGTCAGATTCATTGTATTCTTATTTGGTTAGTCTCTCATTTAATAAAACACTTCCTTCCAACATGAAAGCACTCTTGGGGATCAAAGTCATTAGCAGAACAAACAGATCATGCTCTTTAGTTAATTCTAACAAGTTCTGTGGTTTAATCATAAGTTATTTTTCCAAGGCAGAAGCATTTCTGTTTATTAGGTAATATGGACCTTTAAAATTCATTTTCACTTTAGTACTTTCTTCCTAATAACTTTGAATAAATTAAGAGATATGATGCCTTCAATCAACCATATAAAAACAAAGTTAATAGGAAAAATATATACTGTCCTCTCCTTATATGAAATTACTTTCATTATAATTTCACATTATTACTGAAAATGCCAGTTAATAATACAGAATTTGGGAGCTGTCAAAGGTATAAAATCATCCATTCCTATACTTTTTAACATAGAGTATTTGTGTGTATAAAAAAATCTCTTTAATGCCAGAAAATGCTTCCAACCTTTTCAAAATTAAAGAAATAACACACAACATACAATATTTTAACTAGACAGTATTAAATGCAAAATTGAAGTCCAGTGGCCTTAGCTCCAACATGTCTATAACTGTCTCACCATGTGGAAAATTAGTGTTGCAAAGTAAACATGGCAATAAAATATACAGTACATAGAATAAGATATATTTGCTGAAGAAATATATACTCAGAATATTGAATAATTAATAAAGCATTGAGAAATCATATATGCAGATAAATTTTCTTAAAATTTTATCTTTCAGATTTTCTACTCTCCCCTGGCCCTCTTCATACCCCCTTCAGTATATGCTGTTCATCTTCAGTTCAATCTTCTTTACCAACTTTGGATCCATACAGAGGTAAAACTTTTTTTTTAATCTTTGTAAGCTTTATACATAAACAGCCTGAAGCAATGTCCTGGAAATCCACTAGCAGCTGATTTATTGTGTCAGAAAAATCTTTGTCTGCCTTTTTTAAGCAGAAACATCTGTTCATTTTTATTCCTTTTTACTGAATATATATTGCAAAGTTTATAAGAAGCAATGAGGCCAGTTGGTCTCAATTAAATAAAACAATTTTTGAACTATTAAGTACCAAAACATTTTAATACTGTATTCAATATAATATCTTCCTGTATTACAGCTTATTAAACATAATTTACCAAGAGATGTTGAAATTCATTTCAATTTAGAGATATAAATTTGTATATATGTGTATGTAAATATATCTGTAATCTGTTGGAACTCTTTTGAAACTTCCTAAAAAATTTTATAGAAATTATGAAAATAATTTCTGATTGGAAAACTTGCTCTAACTACAGAGTTTACATTTTATTTAAATTTGTCCTGTGTATTGTTCGTTTTTTTTCCTCCAAAAAATGAAGAAATACAATTTTGGAGTCTTCTGTGACATATCAAATTGTCAGACTTGAATGTTTGCAGATAGGTTATTAGGCAGCTGATTGGTTTATGAACATTTGTACAAATCCTATTGCTAAAATATCAAAAATCACAGACCCAGAAAAATTCTTACCTATACACACAAGCACTCTTTTAAGCATTTGTTATTTATTGGAAGCCTTTGAAAGTTACTATAGGAAGCATGTTGACAGGTTTTGCAACGGGTTGAACAACACTACAAATCACAGCTGCATTATATGTGAAATTTTGATACAATAAGTATATTATTCCATTAACCTGCAGTATTTTATGCTACCGATTTACTTAGAATAAAGAGACTGTTACCATGACTTTGGACATATGTAGCATTATTTGAAGATCTGTCATGAAATAGTATTGTGTTTTATGATACTTGACATACATCAAGCACTCAGTACTACAACCATCTGAAAGAGTTGTTGTGGCCAATTCCGACTCTAGAGGTCAAAGACCAAATTTGTTTAAATCAGTGAAGGGAAGCTTTCTGATGATTTACATGGAGGGGTTAAGGGAGAATTACACTTTATAGCAGCTCTGCTCCAGGTCACGCCATGTGTTGGGTCAGGTATTAGTTTGGATACAGAACAATAGTGCCTCAGTCACTTTTTCCCTCTTCCTTTGTCCCTCTGAGAGGACCATGAGCTAGGCCTTGAGCTCCATTTCATGAAGTAAAGCAACAGTGGAGAAAAGCCACTGGTGAGACTCATTCCTGTTAGCTAAGAACCTCCAAGTGGCTTTATTTCCACTTCAAAAGCAATGCTTAGAACCTCTCCCTTGTGTTACACTTTATGCTTTTCAAAATACTTTACTATGTATGGGTTTCTACAGATGAACTGCATGGGAGGCAAGAACACTTCTTCTTAAATTCATGGTTTCGATCTTGGAAAATTAAATTGTATTACTAACCATGAAAACATTTCTGAAATATTTCTTAACTGTGCAGTTACATTAGTTTATTATATACAAGATAAGATCATTTATTTACAAATAGTAGAATTATTCAGGAAGGAGAGCCAAGAGATTGGACACCGTGACTGCTTCTGGAGAGAAAGACAAATGGTATAGGGGACATGAGTGGGGAGAAGTGTTAAGTATTTTTTAAAAATTATTTTTATTATTTGCTTGTCTTGCTGTTCAATAAAGAATTAATACACAGATTAATAGTAAAAAAAAAAAAATAAAAACTAAAAACAGCAGACTTTAGTCTAGAAAAATACTCACTTTATGTTTTCCTGTACTGTAAATTGTGTGAACCGCTTTAGGCACATGCGTACTGTTTAATATCAGGCATCATACTTGGATCTCCATTGATAGAAATGATATGTGAGCTGTAGAGCTGACAACGTTAGCCAAAGAGCCCTGTACATTCCTGAATAGAGTTTCATTCTTACCATTGCTTCACTTCTCCTAACAGCCATAAAAATCAGTTCTCACTAAAAGGGGAGTATGATCTTAAGAAGATACTGATTTTTTTGAAAGTGAAGAAAATTCAGATCTCTTAAAATCAATCACATTAGAATAATAGGAAGGAAGAAAACCTAAAACCACATGTTTGGAAGACTATGACAGAAAAAATAGGCCATAAAACACACTCAATATTTTATTGAAATTTTCTGTTTACTTTTGAGTTATTTTGATGAATGCACAAAGTCTAGGCTGGGGACAGTGGCTCTATGCCTGTAATCCTAGAAGTTTGGGAGGCAGAGGTGGGCAAATCAGCTGAGGTCAGGAGTACAAGATGAGCCTGGTCAACATACTAAAACCCCATCTCTACTAAAAATACAAAAATTAGCCGGGCGTGGTAGTTCCTATGCACACCTGTAGTTCTAGCTACTTGGAATGCTAAAGTGGAATAATTGCTTGAACTTGGGAGGTGGATGTTGCAGTGAGTCAAAATCCTGCCACTGCACTCCAGCCTAGGTGACAGAGTGAGACTCCTTCTCAAAAAAAAAAAGAAAGAAAGAAAAAGAAAAGATAAACAAAGAAACAAAATCTATTGCCATCCTCTTTTTTTGAAAGTTATAAAACATTTGGCTTAAAATTCTACTCTGTTGCTTAATTTTTGTGACTATGTTTTTGTTTGTGTATTGTTCATGGATATAAAGTCTACAGCACATATTCACTTATACTTTTTTCTCGTGAATTCACTAAAGACAGTAAGAAAACCTTTTTATTTAATACATGTTTTTAACTTAGAACTGTGGAATGTTTTAAGTATTTTTTGAGGTGTCAGTTGTTATTTGGATGTCAGCTGAGTTTATACAATACAGTAACAATCGTATAATGATACTATTACACTATTACCTTTTTTTTCTTGAATTTATTGTCATTGTTTATGTACATATCATGTGATGCTTGAGTAGAGAAATGTAGCAGAGAAACAACTTAATTATTTGATATTGAAGATTTGAACCATCTGATTAAATGATTTTTATAGTGCTAAATTAAAACCTCTAAATGAAACATTATGCCAACATTACAAATACAAGGAGTGATCTCTTTATATACCAATATAGACAGACCTCCAAATAAATCAAGGTACATTACAAGATATAGCAGATCCTAATATTTATTTTAAAAGGAGAGAAAACAACTATATATTTTGTACATTCTGTTATGCATAAAATGTTCAGAGAAAGACACTATGTGTAGCCCGTGGTTTTCCTGTGGTAAGCAGTATATGAGATGGCTGAGAGATAAGGATCACAGTGAGACACTAACATTAATTTTATCCATTCTAATTTGGGTGAAGAGTAATCTCTCTGCAGTAGTATTTCTCTAATAACTAATGATGCTGAACAACTTCTCATGTATTTATTGGATGTTGCTTCATTTATTTGCTTTAATGAACTGTCTATTCAAGGTCTTGCCTACATTTTATTGGGTTGTTTGCCTAATTGATTTACTTGAATGGCTTATAGATTTGGGAGACAAATATTATGTCAGATACATGTATTAAAAATATTCCCTTGGCCGGGTGCAGTGGCTCACGCCTGTAATCCCAGAACTTTGGAAGGCCAAGGTGGGTGGATCACGAGGTCCGTAGATGGAGACCATCCTGGCTAACACAGTGAAACCCCATCTCTACTAAAAATACAAAAAAATTAGCCAGACATGGTGGTGGGTGCCTTTAATCCTAGCTACTCAGGAGGCTGAGGCAGGAGAATAGAGGTTGCAGCGAGCTGAGATCACACCACTTCACCCCATCCTAGGCAACAGAGCAAGACTCCATTCCATCTCAAAAAAAAAAAAATCCTCAGTTTGGAACATGTCATTTTATATTTTATTCCTAATGACTTTTCATAAGCAGAAATATTGAATTTTGAAGTTCACTATATTTTATTTTATTTTTTAATATTTTCTCTAAGAAATCTTTGCCTATCAGAAACGCTGAAAGATAGTCTTCTAGGATTACTGTTGAAACCTTAGAGTTTTAACTTTTACCTTTACTCTGTGATATTCTTGAATTAACTATTACATGTGGTATGAGGTAGAAATCAAGATGCCTGATTTCTATTTACATAACCACAACTATAGCCACATTTATTATAGAGTCTTTAAAAAAATTCATTAGATGTTCTTGGTGACTTGTTGAAAAAAAGTCAACCACATATGGTGGGATCTATTTTTAGACTCTTACTCACTTTTATTGATGTGTGTGTTTTCCTTTATACCAATTCCTTAATTTATTGATTATCATAGCTTTCAAGGATGCATTGTTCACACGTTTGTAAAATAATCTGTTTAATTTTCTCTAGAATTTTTGTCATGCATAATTTTGTGGTCTTTGAACAAAGACAGCTTTATTGCTTTTTTTTTTTTTTCCTGTATTTGTGCTTTTTTTTTCTTGCCTTATTGCTCTGGCAAGGAACTAAATGGTATAAGATAGAAGTGGCTAAAGTGAGATGTAGGCATCCTCTACTGACTTGTTCTCTCTCTCTGTCTCTCTCCGCCCAATCCTTTCTTCCTCTCTTCGTGTGTGTGTGTGTGGGGGGGGGGGGTTCTCTAGGAATTAAATATGCATTCCTATCATATTCTGCTTTGAATTAATATAAATAATACTTATAAATGTAAGAATGTTATAGTAATATAATTCCATCTATACCCAACCTTTTAGCTAGCATTCTCACATATGCTAATCTTTCACATTATAAATCCGAAAATATTATTATTCTACATTTAGTCAGTTATATTTAAAGCAATTAAGAAGATAAAATAGTTAATCTTCTGTATTTACCCAGATATTTACCTTATAATAGTCTTCATTCTTTCCATTAATCTTAAGGGAAGTTAAGGGATCTTGGTCATGTTTTTCTTAAACATTGTTTCTGTCCCTTTCTCTTTCTCCTCTCCTCTGAGAACATCAATTACCTGTGTATTAGACTGCATGATATTACCTCAGAGATCAGTAATGCTCTGTA